AATGCTGGATGATGCCAACGTGATCAAATTACCATAGCTCATTTAAATAATGTATGAACGCAATGCGGAAGTGATTTGCCGATGTTTGCGATATTTTGGCTTTGATTTTGGTGGGAAAAACTGCATGATTTTTTTTTTCAAATCAAGAAATTAGTTATTTTTGGAAAGTAAACTGAGCATTTAAAGAATAATTTAACACTGTTTACTGTGACAACAATGCATTTGAAACAGAACATTTTCGCATTGTTTTAATTTCGTTTTTATGGACTTACTGCGAAATTAAAAACCACGCTGATATTTTCTACAGTAGACTAAAAAGACATGTTTCAAGAGATTATAGACCGATTTCTTAAAAATTGTTAGAAACAAAACCATTTTTTTTTACATAAAAGCCATTCGTACAGTAACAGCGAGGGACTTCCGCGATCGCGTCCATCGCTACGAACCGCTAACCGGTAGTCGATCCGCCGGCGCCCAATTCACGATCATTACCTGCCAAAATTTCAACTTTGTCTGGTGCTTAATTGAGGTGTAAAATACAAAGTTTTTGTGGCACTGGCGCCTAATTGAAGGTGGCGCTTAACTGAAGACAAATACGGTATTTTCAGTAAATCCGCCCAATCATGATCAACTAACAATATTCAATCTTTGAAATTAAAAAGTGCCTTAGGAAAGGAGGGTTTGTGAGAATTGATAGCAGTCGTACCATTCATCTTTGGTTCTATGATGCGGAGTATATTTAATTCTATAAGCTACAGGATCCATTTTACCATCCTCTAAAATTGTCTTCATTCGAAGAGTAGCTTCTCCTTCTTCCAGTTTACCTTTTTTCATGTCCTGAAAATGAGATCAAAACACTGAAATATGTTGTCATTGTGATAGTTCAACTTGTTAGTGTTACAAATAATAGTTCCCCAGTGCAATAATTCGAAAGACAAAAACTGCTATAAAGTACTCTTTTCCTGGGAACTAGACAGAGGTGACCTGCCTGGGTGCTTGACAGGTGACCTGCTGGGGGGCTTAACAGAGGTGACCTGCCGGGGGGCTTAACAGAGGTGACCTGCCGGGGGGCTAAACAGAGGCGACCTGCCGGGGGGCTAAACAGAGGTGACCTGCCTGGGTGCTAGACAGGTGACCTGCCGGGGGGCTAAACAGAGGCGACTTGCCAGGGGGCTAAACAGAGGTGACCTGCCTTGGGACAAGACAGAGGTGACCTGCCTGAGTGCTAGACAGAGGTGACCTGCCTGAGTGCTAGACAGAGGTGACCTGCCTGGGTGCTAAACAGAGGTGACCTGCCTGGGTGCTAAACAGAGGTGACCTGCCTGGGGGCTAGACCAAGGTGACCTGCCTGGGTGCTAAACAGAGGTGACCTGCCTGGGGGCTAAACAGAGGTGACCTGCCTTGGGACAAGACAGAGGTGACCTGCCTGAGTGCTAGACAGAGGTGACCTGCCTGAGTGCTAGACAGAGGTGACCTGCCTGGGTGCTAAACAGAGGTGACCTGCCTGGATGCTAAACAGAGGTGACCTGCCTGGGGGCTAGACCAAGGTGACCTGCCTGGGTGCTAAACAGAGGTGACCTGCATGGGGGCTAGACCGAGGTGACCTGCCTGGGGGCTAGACCAAGGTGACCTGCCGGGGGGCTAGACCAAGGTGACTTGCCGGGGGGCTAGACCAAGGTGACCTGCCTGGGGGCTAGACCAAGGTGACCTGCCTGGGGGCTAGACCAAGGTGACCTGCCTGGGGGCTAGACCAAGGTGACCTGCCTGGGGGCTAGACCAAGGTGACCTGCCTGGGGGCTAGACCAAGGTGACCTGCCTGGGGGCTAGACCAAGGTGACCTGCCTGAGTGCTAAACGGAGGTGACCTGCCTGGGGGCTAGACCAAGGTGACCTGCCTGGGGGCTAGACCAAGGTGACCTGCCTGGGGGCTAGACCAAGGTGACCTGTGGGGGGGGGGGGGGGGGCTAGACAGAGAAGATCTGCCAGGGATTTTACCTCAAACAATGTAAGAGACTCTTCCACTGGTCTGTCTCTCCAGGGCGATGGTGGTGGATTACGTCCTTTTATTTCTTCCTGTTTCTGATGACATACATATGCAAGACCTCTGAAAACAAATGAGATGTATCTTTTAGGAGATTTTTAAAGTAAAACTCACTTTTTTTAACTTTTTGTGGAAGACACATCAATGAGCTCTAATTTGTTTGTAAAAGTGTTTTATATAGGTAATTAAGATGCCAATTATGCAAATTAGCTGATTTCACTCACTGATTACACTCTTTTGCAAGATTTTTAATAAGCTACCATAGAGAGCTTTCTACATATATATAAACCAGGTATTTATAAGATAAGGGTATACAACTTATACATAACCACCTACAGTGATATGTGATAATGATCTCAAGGAAATTGAGTGAATGAGCGGTTGAGAATTATCATATTCAGTGTGCGTCAATTGAATTTATTTAAACACTAATCAGTTTTTTTTATATAATCACTAATTTGCATTAGAATTTATAATTTAGCTGTGTCTTAGGATCATCTTGCAATTCAATGGTTTGTCAATTTACACTTCTTTCATTGCGTATCACAAACTAGCATACACCCAATCTATAAACTCTTGATATAACATATATTTTAAATGTCACATTTAAAAAGGTTCTTCATTTTCTCAAAATTCAAACACTAAGTACTTCACACTACGATGTATGGGTTAGAAAATTGACACTGTCGTTCACATTTACAGTGTGTGTGTGTGTGGTATATCAGTATAGCAGTAAACATCAACAATGATTCCATAGAGGAACTCTGAAGGATCCATTGGTTAAATCACATCATCATTTACACCCACACTATCCTAAACTCCCTAAGAATATACCGGTATAACCTACACTCGTTCATAGACATTATTGGGTTATACCATGTGATAAGAGGGATGTGGTTACTTTTTTATCAGTTCAATGGTCAATGCATATAGCTCATGAAAATAGTCAGATATACACTCCCTAAAAATTGTACAACCCATACCCGTATTCAGACATTATTGGTGATCATACGATGAAATAAGAGGGATGTAATTACCTTTTTATCAGTTCAATGGTCCATGCATATAGTTAATGAAAATCGTCATATGTATACACTCCCTGATAATTGTATAACCCATACCCCTATTCAGACATTATTGGTAATACCATATGATAAGAGGGATGTGGTTACCTTTTTATCAGTTCAATGGCCCATGCATATAGTTCATGAAAATAGTCAGAAGCATGTGTTGTTTTGTACGGCGTATAACCTAGAACAAGAGTTAAAAAGATGTCACTCGTCAATACAGTACAACCTGGCCTCTAGGCACCAACTGATGGTTATCACTACCAACCCCAACATTTTCCCTCAGCTTTGTGCATTGCATCATGGGAATAGTTCAACAGAGCACATTTGCATTGAAAAGGACAAAAACTAATTTTGTAAATGTAATTTGTGACACATTTCGTATGTATAAAGTCTGTTGACCCAGTAAATTCAAGTCATGTAATAGCCATCACACTGCCCTGATCTATAACCAAGATTAATGAATTGTGCTGTGACTTATTAATACATTCTACATTTGGATCATGAGGTCGCAGGTCATTACTATCACACCCCAAAGTCAAAGGTCACCAGTATCACATGCTGTTGGGTAATGAATATTCTGCTTTTGGTCATTAATATACTACCCGGGGTAGTAACCAATAGTCATCAGATTATGAGAAACTGAAATCTTACCAAGCCATTCAACCATTTCAAGAATACCACGAAAGAATCTCTCTTCCTCTTTTTCAGGGTTTGTATCATCGTATCTTAGGAAACAGATGCCATCATGGGCCTGAAGAACAAAAATGAATACCACCATATGGGATTTGAGGATGTGTTCTTTACTGCACTACATGGCCACCAATCAGCCATTTTAGGTGGCTCGCAAAAACCTGCAGATGAGTACTGGTCTGACATTAGTGATTAATGAAAACTATAACAGTGACTTGTCAAAAAGTAACAGCTTGCAAATTATTGAAGTTTATATTTATGCGTCATTGCTGAAAGTAATGGTCATACGTACCCTTGCATAGCCAAAATTAAAGTTGATTGCCTTAGCATGGCCAATATGCAAGATACCATTGGGTTCTGGTGGAAATCTTGTCCGAATCTGAACAAAGAATAGAAAGAGGTAATAATATGCAGCTCAACCAACCATGTCATTAGAGGGCAAACTGCAACTGTACACATGTGTGGAATTTAGAGAAGAAGTGCAACAGTCATCATTACTGGCGGATTGTTAGGGTTAATGTACAAATGAACATTACTGTAGCAAATGGCTCACCTGACCACCAGTTTCTTCAAGGTGTTTTTTCATCAACTTCATAGTTTTTGGAGTGACCACATAGCCCTCAGTAGTGTAGTTTTCTCCTGAAAAACAAAGCGAATATAGGTTTCTAGGTACTGTGATTGCTATAGCAACTAGACAGGATGAATAAAAATTCAGAGTATTTTTAAGAGTATATTACCTGGCTTGTGAAACTTAATGGCATCTCCCATTATTTGATAGTCAGTCTTGGAATCCATAGGAGAGGCTAACTCTTTCTCAACTTCTGCTTTCTTTGTTTCTTCTTTCTTTGACTGAGTTTGAGGCTATAGATTAAAATTTTATGGTGAATTCAATTTAAATGGCAGTCACTGAGCAAAAATTCACAGGTCATTCAAGTTAATAAAAGTGTTAATTGTGTTTTTAATAGTCTGAATAGTAAATAAACCCACACAATCAACATTGGTCATCAAGTAATCCCAGACAAACATTGGTACAGCATATGCACTACTACTTCTGGCTAAATCACAGCTTTCAGAAAATGTATAGTTTGTTACAGTAGCATGCTTAGTAACTTTTAGAGAATGCCTGTATCACAGTTCAAATTATAATACACTTTGCTTCTGTTGCTACCGTAAAGCATGTGAGATGTTAGTTAGTTGTCCAAATAATTTATCTTATACTGGGTTATAAAACTACCCTTGGTGTCAAGCCCTGTACTTTCTCAAAACCAACATTATGCTTATATTTGTATGAATCCAGATTCACACTATTCATATCAAGTGCATATCGCAAATAAATTCAGTTTAAATCCACATTACATAGTAATATATTTTAAAGTGGTTTTATGAATGAACTTGCCTTAGCTTTCTGAGGTTTTTGTTTGTCAGCGTCAGTCTTTGGTCCCAACAAATCCAGTATCTGCATGTCGACCTCATTCTTGATACCTCTCCCATCAGCCCACTTCAGTTTACTACGTACCTCTCCTGGAAGAAACAAGAACATTCATCAGTGTATGATCAATTTGTCACTCATTGAACCTTCATTATTCATTGAATTGTTAGAAATATATAGCAATGAATCAAGTATCTCACCCATAATAGATCCGACTCCATAGTGATAACGCTGCTCAATCAATCCATCTTTGTGTTTTTTCAGTACTTCTTCAACCTATGAATGGTTTTATTAGTGATATTAATTTAATAAAGCAAATCAGATGACAAGGCAGGATATGTATGAAGGCCCTAGAATGAAGGTCCAACAGAACTAGAATGTCCGACTTGTTGACAGGTACTGTAAAAGGGTTGATTATTCACTGCGTTTTAATTTTGCTTATTTCGCTGACTGGAAAATGCGCTAAATTAAAACCTAGTGAATATGTAAAATTTAGCATAGAACACATTATCTAAATGATAAAACTGTGAATTTTAAAACCCACTGAATATGTCTGAAATGATAAATCAGCAAAATTTAAACCCAGTGAAAATTAGTCTATTTACAGTATTACCATATTACCCCGGGCACGCGCCCCTCCCTGGGCAAGCGCCCACCCCCCTGTTTTCACAAAAGTTACATGTTGGGGACATCTTCGGTTAAACGCCCAGGGTGATTTTTAGCCAAGAACGGGATCAACAATAAAGTATTATTTGTCAAAAACGAACGCGTTTGATTTATTTAAATAGTGTGTTTGTTACAGTAGTTCTCTTTTGCGAGTGTGTTTTGTTTGTGTTTTTACGTAAAAACTCATTGGAACTTAACGACGTGAGATGAACCACGCAGCGTGTGGCGCACACGTTCTGCTTTCTCTTCATTCACGATGAATCCAATATTGCAATAATCCATACCTTGGTGAGTGGTTTGAAGCACTTAGCTTTGGTTTCAAAACGTAGCATCGCCAGGCGATGGACGCTGAGCTTTTTGGCAACGACCGCAAACGTATCCGTGTCCAGCCATTGGTTGGCCACGTATAGGTCAAAATACGCGTACTATTTTTAGTTTGGCTCTTCTGTTTCACCCCCTCCGGAATGTTCTACTTTCGCAGCCTTATCGCAGGTTTTTCAAAAAACGTCGAAAAAAACACAAGAATTAGTAGAAATGTTCCTGTTTTGGGCGGATTATTGATAGAAAATAATGTCTTTATTACAAAAATGCTGAAAAACCGTGAGTTTTTGCCTTAGTTATTTTTTTATTGGCGAAAATTGCGAACTCGGCAAATTTGGTTGCACAACTTCCCTTTATCATACACACCCAGCGACACCGGTGCCAGCTGACTGCAAATGGAAGCTAGTACTTTTGAGACATCACGTCGTAAACTTGCTAATTTCTTTCCATCCTTCATCACAGCTATGGCATTATGGTCATGTGGATTATTTTTCTGTCGTTGAAGAAAAAACATTTTGCCGACCTCAAGTCCATTACGATAACCATAATGAGGCATGCCGACGATGGGAACTTGTTGCATCATAATTTTGTCGTGTCTGTGGGTGCGTGAATAAATCATGTTAATGAGGTCGACCAGAGTTTATTTTCAGTCTGTTTTTTATGTATCGCCATTTGGATATGTTTATGTATTCACAATAGTTTGTAAACATTTCACATCAGTAATAAAAGGTTTATTTGTTTCATAACCCTGTCTGCTATTCTTCAGTAATTACGATGCGATGTATCAATACGTGCGTGAACAAAATTATGCTAATGAGGCCATCGCCATCTTGGATTACAAGCGGTAGTTTTTCCCGGCCGTTTCGACTTGCACTGATCACGGTTACTAAAAATGTAACCGTGCATTGATTACAATACTTACCATACTTTGTAGCCAATTTCAATGAGTATTAAATACAACTTCATTCGCTGACATAAAACAAGTTTTATTCTTGAAATTTGACCCTGTGTCTTAGTGTTCCCACAGTTCTTGACCGTGCTCACATTTATTCAAGTTGAAACCTCGCATAAATCAAGAAATAAGTACGTGTACAAAGTGTACGAAAGCATTCCTTTATTTGACCTTATCATACGATCACAAAAACAACTTTTTTAAATCTTTTTTGGGGTGGTCCTCGGGTAAGCACCCACCCCCAATTTTTCACAATTTTGTATGTTCAGGCCCCTGGGCGCGTGCCCGGGGTAATACGGGGTACAATATTTTCTGATTGGGCAGAGGATGGTCACAGTGCTCTCAAACATTCCATGTACAAAGGCCTGACAACAGTAGAGATGGCATGGCGAGCGTATGTCTACTACAAGACTATGAAATGAGTCAACATCATCATCATTGCATTCTGTGAATAAATGAAGATGCAATTTCCTTATGTGTCTTATGGAAACTTACCACTTCTTCAATCTGCTCTGGTGTAACAACGACCCCAACTCCACATGCTGCTTCAAACGCACTGATATCAATCGGGTCAAGAGGATTGCTCTTGAAGTAATCAAAAGCCGCTGAAATGCATCAAAACATGAATCTGTCAACTATAAACATCCAGATTGTTGTGCACATCAAATTACTGATTTGTTCCCTGCACAGCAATTAGGTTTCTGCCTTCAACTGTACATTTTCTGTGCTGAAGCATTTGAATATACGAGGATTCAATATGTGTTTTTTTCAAATCCTGGTGAATGCTAGTCTTTCCCATGAGCGTAAATTCAAATTATCAAAAATACCCCAATAAAGCTCCCAGAGAGCAACTTCAACAGTTGGAGATAATTATATAAAAGGATACAATTTCTATAAGAAACAAGTTTGGTGACCTAAACTTTTTTGAACCCAGACTTGACATTGTGAGTAAGTGAAAGCTACTTTCCACACATTTTCTCACTTCCGAGGGACATACTACCATTAATTAAATAAAGATAATGAAAGATGGTTTGTATTCAGTACAGATAAAGTTACCTGTGAGCTGTGCTTCTGAAGAGATCTTCTTGGTTGCAATATACTCCACCAGTAATGAAGATCGACTCTTTTGTTTAAGTCTAGTTGCAATATTGTATAACAATGTACCAACAGTTTTTTCCACAGAGCTGCCAATTTTATTCTGTGCCTAATGTAGGATAAGGAGCATAGAAACTATTAAGTGCTTGGTCTAGGAAGGAGTAGCACTATAACTGCATCTAAACTAGTGGTTGCCTAGTAACTGTAGCATTGTAATTTACAATGTTTTTACCACAATATAGATATGTTGGACAGACTTGTTCTATTAGTTTGAAAAGTATGAGACAATTACCAATTACACATCTATGTGGGGACTTGAGACACAGACATAGTGGGGAAAATTCCTGTCTGTTGTAAAATGACTTACTGTATATCAACTGTACTGTATATCTATAAATTGTTCCATGTATTTCCTCACATTTTTGGAAGACAATTTATCTAATGAGACTGAAACATCTGGGTCAAAAATTTAAAACTGTGTCACCATGAGACAAATTCACTGTCATCGCCTGCCACAACGCGTCTGGATCATATTATAAGAGATGTATTTATTCATTATCATAATATAAATTGGAATAAATTTAAACAGCCCACAATCAGGGATAGATTTTATAGCTCAGTAGACCCATTTGACACTACACGAACAGAAAGCGATTGTGCTATGTGCTCCAGGTGGCATCTCTGGACTTTGCTGGATGAGTATCTAGATGACAAATGATAAGTTGCCATAGACTAATTAATGACTGACACAATAAACTGTGAGGTCATCATATTTAAAACTGAGACAGCATGGTTTGAGGTTGTTGCTACTGAGATCTTGTTCGACAAATTGGGTTCACACTGTACATGACCCTGAAATCTGGCGAGCAAAACCAAGTACTACCATAGCCAAACTGGCATTAAATATCCAAGTCTGAGAAGTCTGGGGAAACGTCAGATAGAGAACATTCCAACATACATACACTATTCAGTCCTGGGCTTACAGTTACATGTTTTGTACTATGCTGTTAATTTCTAGAATTGTTATTTTTCTAGCTAGTTTATTTATATAACATTTCACAAGTGTATATGTGAGGACTAAGTAATGTCTCCCTCCCTCTTGTCACTGGATCATTACCGACCTTGCTGTGGTGTCTACAGTGCGTAATTTTGTAACCTCCACAGCAGTGAGCTCCATACGAGAACTACCGGTATACTAGAAGAATGGTTAGGAAACTCTATTGTTAGAAATGCTAATTACCGTTGACTTCACTTCGATGCGTGTCCAACCACTATAATGTCATCGCTTATATTGCAATCTTCGCTTGCTTTTCATGCGTGTCCACTAAACTGAAGAAATAGAGCTAATTAAGTCTAAAGATCGACGTAAAACATCACCAACTTCTGTGCGAAGGTTGTGTGATATTCAAAGTTTCGTTGTTCTCGAAAAATGAAAATACCGATTGTTTGTTTTGTCTGTGAATGGCATTTTGTACTTCTAAAACTCTGTCTGTGAATGTTCTAAAATGTTAGTATTTGTTACTAAGATATTGTTTTGGGTGTATTAATATGGAACAGTAATTATCAAAACTAGTTTCAATCGTTATTTTAAAAAATAACACTTATTGTTGAAGTTAGTGACGTCAACCATTTTGTCTGCCTTTGTCATGATAGTTTGGGAAAATTGTGGGAAATCGAATGGAATTATATTTAGTACCACGCATTGTTAAATTAGTATTTATAGTTTAAAATTTGTACCCCAAAAATGCATCTCGGGATGCTTCACAAGTTTATTTTGTACATTGAATAGAATCTGTGAGCCTTTTATAAGAGAACTATAATAGCTTAATTAAACAAAGCAAGTTTCATTTTCTTGAAGTTTGCAGACATTTTTCTTCCAAGTAACAAGTCGGCCATTCCCCCCCCCCCCCCCGACTGTGACACATGAAGTTCTATGGTGCCATAGTGCAGTTTCAATCAGAATATTTTTTTTTATTTCAATGTGGGGTGGTAAGCCTATTAACTTAAATTGTTCATTGCTGAGTTAAGCTCTTAATCCTTTAGTATTCCTGGTGTTTGAACTCGATGATAGTTGCCGTTTGTTTTGTATTGACCATAATATTCAGATTACACAGAAACAATTTTCCGATGAAATATTATATCATATTGTGCAGATCATAAATAAGATCGTTACTCATGGGCAGTCATCTTTGTTGAAAACAAGAAGTCACCATTCACACTACACACCAGGAACTAAACAGTTGGACATTTAATTCTGCTCATTTATATGATACACAGAATTTCGCAAAAATATTTAACTTTTTATAGAATCTTTGCATCCTCTGCTTTTGAAAATCACTGTCAAATATGGCATGCGACAGCGAGCAGTTATCTATTGGTGCGATGGTATAGTTTTGCTGTCAACCCTGTACACTCGTATTGAAACCATTTCACCGTGCAGTCGTTGCTGTCACATGCAATCATGCTTTTTGTTGCTTCACCACCACATATACGAAAGGACTGCTGAAAAATTACTACCCAGTAGTTCATTTTCAACTACTGCCTAGTCTGCCCATTTTTTCCGCATAAAAATCTTCAACTATATCGCAAATTTCTACGGAAACTCACGCCTGACGTCATGTTTGTTACTCTGGTTCTGCACATGCACAGTTCATTCGCATAATTTCCGAAGTTTCGAAATACTTAATCCCCTTAAGGGATTAAACAGATAATAGGAAAACAGATAACACATTGTGTGCTCGGCAAACAATCGCCAACTATCCTAGTACACAAAGGAAACAATAGGCATCACTGCTCCTTCTTTTTTTATCTCCATGCACATACTAACAAAAGGACCAAGTGAGTTTCCTAACCATTCTTTTAGTAACCGTGACCAAATATATATTTTGTGTACCTAATAAACTATGCTTTCATCTAACTCATGTGTGGGGTTGTACGAGTAAGATTGATCGGTATGCATATAACTGTATTGAACTATACTGGTTCCTATCAGTCTAAATTATCAATTCCCATAATTTAAGAACCCACACATTAAGTAGTAAAAATACTGAAAACTGTTTTGGCCTAATATTTGAACCCATGACCTTGTGACACCAACATAACAATGAATCAAGAATCAAAGTTCCAGGAAAATACGTATTTTCAGTCAATATTTTTGCAGATCTGACTGGGGAGAAAGGCCCCTGTGGGGCAGATATTCAGTAAATGCCAGTAATAACACTGCAGGCGATGGTCAAAGAAAACAATTAAATTACTATAGATCATTCACCAGTAGTATTTAAAGCATTTCAAGAATTTCTCTAGCTTTACTATACTTCTTGATCTCTCCTAAAAGTAACTTGTAAAGCGTTTTACGATTACTATTAAATGTCAGGCTGATGCAATGATTGAGCAACTGGAACAAACTAAAAACAAAAGTTGTCAGTGTCGTGTATTAAACAAATGAAACAAAACAAAAAATGCACTTGAACATTAAACAAGAAACGCCAATGGCTGTGGGTACTTAGGTTCTGCATGTCAATCTAATATTTTTGTTTAATGCAGTGTTAGGATCCAACGTAAACGATACAGTGTTCGAACATATAATGAATGACACCAGTAACATCATTGATGGGGGCTCCACGCCACGACTCATTTTCGAGCGTGATTTCTCCCCGCTACATTAGAATTTATTAGCAAACTTTAACCAGGACTTACCTCGATAACTATCTTCCTCAGATCTTCAGCAAGACCTTCATTCTTTATAGTTTCCTTTGCCTTTTGCTCGCTCAACCCGATGCCAGTAAACAGCTGTACTAGATTGTCCGCCATGTTGTTAGACAAGTTGCTATGCATTGTGGGTAAAGGAAGTTCGTCTGCAGAGAATACCATCTAAGAACAAGATTACGTTCGGGATTATGGAGGGGAGGAATGATTCTTTGTCAAGGTAAATTGGTAAATATGTAACATTGTGTCAAATTAATTGACATTAATTTTAAATTAAAAATAGTTAAGGACCCATATACGTGCCATGTTTCAGGAGTTGTAATGTTCCTAACCACGCATCAACTTGAACTATGTCCTTCTATTGCGACACAGTGACTTGAAGTTATCGGTTGCTTCTAAGCCAATGAAAGCATCTTCATTGGATTCGAATGAAACGCAAAAGTTTTTATAAATTTCTATAAAAAACATTAATTTCTTCATTAAGATTCCAATCAAAAATAAATAATAAACTTGCAAAAGTGGGGCATTTTCTAGAGATTTGCTATCATAGTAGAAAAAAAACATACCTCAAACATACTTTCAAAAAATAAATCCAAATAGTACTATCCACACAACAAACTCATTCCCTTTATTTTCATTAATATTTACATTGTATTTAATTTCAAGATTCAAGCAGTTTCTATTGACCAGTAGACCATTTTCAAATGACGTCATTGTGCACTGCAGTTGTTGATTGGCTGGTTGGATTCAACTGCCATTGAGCTGGTAAATGGTAAACAAAGAGGGTGAACAATTTACTGCAGTCAAAGTCTTGTGCAGCTTAATTTTATATAAGAGTTGTAATGGTTCAATTGTCAAATAAAACCCCAATCATCACTACTCTCCAAGATTCTCTTACTAATGAATGCAACTTTAAGAAACTCTTGATCAAGGTTCAATGTGATAAACCTTTACTCGGCCTGGTTGATTCTTGAATCATGATGCATTAAAACTGTTACAATTGGAAAATGGTCACATGTCATTATTTTTTCAAACATGGAATATTGTTTCTGTGACAGCAGATTTGTAATCTGACATAATAATATCATAACTGATAATACAGAAACTAAAAGAACTTCACATTGTTTCCTAACATGTTTATCTTCCCAAGAAGATAAACTTTTTGCATGGTTATGTACTATGTTATACGCTGCCCTCTGTGTCTCTGTGATGATGAACACTTAAATAAAGGTTGCCCTCTTGAGGCTATTTTAACATCACTTTCTTCAGATTAACTAAGAGGGCAGCCTTTGTTAACACCATCAACGATGCAAACATTGATTCATTGTACATATAGGGTGAGCAGCACAACTAGAAAGCCTCGCATTTGAATTAATTTATTTAATTATTCTCACCTCTGAACTGAAGAAACATCGTCTTATTAGAATATATTTTATATTTCATTTTTTGTCATTATCCAAGCTATTTGTTTTAGGTTTGCAGTTACACCCATTTTTATAGTCACTAACTCAGTTTTTCAGTTTAAAATTTTTGACACATGATGGAGACAGATTCTGCAATTTGCAAAATGAGATTCTTGATTCTGTGAAAAGATGGCAGAGGAGTGGCATCAAGATCATGTCCCTGGAGTTTCCATGGCAACACACAGATAACTGATCAATTGTGTGGGTGAGGCTGATCACTCATTTTGTTGCAAATCAATTTCTTTAAATGCCAACCTTCATCAGTGTAATTCTATTGAACTTTACCATGATAGAATAATTAGCCAAAGTATTAAATGAGCTTAGGAATCCAATTTCATAATTACCGGTTAGCAAGATGATCCACAATGACTGAATCTTCTTTTGCCCATACCTGGACAGAAATAAAAAATAAAATACTATATAGAATACTGTTGTATATTCAGGGGTCAATATAAGTAATTTTGTCAAGTGTCTGCAACATTTGGACTATAAAAATGAGTTTATCCCCAGTAGTATAGCCCTTATTTGACTTCACACATATATTTGATAAGCACTTCATAAGGAGATTGATGTTGTATCAAATTTGTCTAGACTGAACACCGAAGTGTCTGAATATTGATCGGTGCATGTTTTCATCTCGTTTTTCAAATACTGAAAAATACTTCCTGGAATTATAAATTTTGGTTGTTTTTTATGAAGTTTATTTTCACTGATTTTTGATGAGTCAAATGTAAAATATAGGAAAAAAAGATACCGTATTTTTGCCGGATTATATTTTCACTGATTCATTCCAACTGAAAATTATCTTATTTACAGTACGCTTTCATAAATCTTGTTCAAAAACTAGACATAATCGCATAAATGTGCATGTCAATTTTTGTTTTTCGTTTCATCAACCTTTGACTGAGTGGAAGCCTTTTTCATCCCCAAAAAGTCATATTGAAAAAATTCCACATGTTGTCCATCAATCATTTTTCAGGCATGTCTTTACTGATTTCATTTAAATTTGTTATTGGCAGGTTACTGGTATTCATTATTTTATTTTGTGATTTGAATCAAAATGACTTATTGGTCAGCCTGATGGTTTAATTTTCATTTGTTCTTAACCATTTTTTGACTGGTTTTGGTACAATTACACGTCATAATCACATACATATGCATGTTGATATGGTTTTTTTATTTTGTTGTTCTTTGACTGACTGAGAACAAAAAAACTCTCAAATAATAAAATACTCATAATTCAAAAAATATGTTAGTTCCATTGCAGAATAACTTTAGCTGTTCCATGAGATGGCTGTATGAATGAATAAAATGAAGATATTCTTTGCTAAATCTAAATTATTTCACTTTTTATGTTTTTAAGTACTATTCTCAAAACTGGAATTATGACATTCATGTCTTGTTTTACATAGAAAGTACAATGCATTTTTATTTGAAAATATTCTTTTGCTGTCATAATTTTCATCCCACAGCTCTTCAAGGTGGGACACCGACTGCACACCCACACAAAATCCTCCTAAATGAAAAAATTGAAAAGGTCACATCTGTCACATCCTGGGAATTGAAATAGAATTATAGGATATCGCAGCAGGAAGGTCAGATATCCCACAATTCAATGCACCATAATATGGGATGAATTGTATGTAGTATAATTACTTGACAACCATCGTCAAAGACTAGAATGTGTGATAAATATGATTTTCTTGTGAAATAAAGCTCAGGTAGTCATTCAACACATTAGTATGCCTCTCATATACCAGTACAATTCTTCACGATATAAACCTGTAATATGTTTCTTTCATGTCGAGAACCAGTTTGTCCTATAACTGGACTGATTTTATGAAAATAAATCTTCAAAATCAAGTTGTTTATAAAATGTTAATATCATTTTACCAAATTATGAATTCCATGACTATAGTTAGATGTTTTTCAAGGTCACTATACCAATTTAATATTTTCTGTTGCGTCAATCACGTGTCAGTGAATTAGCACAACTAGTTGCTTCACAACAAATTTTTGTACGTCAGTGACACATCATATGTAGCTATTGTACAAGTTTACCAGTTGACATTGACCACTGGTTCATTGACTGCTTGTATAATGACACAATTCTGTCAAGTGATCTTGACATTTAAACCATTATATAATCTATTTATAGACTTATTAACGTCAGAGTTGTTTCTTGAGCATTGTTATTGTTCAATTGTTGTTGAGTTGCTGATTAATTAAAAGGGGTTAATTAATGCATTACAGTAATTGTATTTTTTTTTCGCCAGTACATCATGCTTGGGAGCGGGTCATTTAGTTCTAGCAACGCGTTAGATACGAAAGTAGAAAAACTAGATTTCTTGTCTCATTAATTATTGATTAATTATTAATTAATTATTTGCTATTTTCATTGATAAGTATGAATTGCTAAATTAAATCCACATCAACATGTAAAACAAAATATTTTCTTTGCCTTAAGTTTGTGAACCCATGTGAATTGCTCAAAATATCAAAATAGCAAAATTAAAGACCAGTGAAAATAATGGTTTCACAGCAACACATTACAAGCCTGCCTTTGTTTTGGTCACACTTATGATCTGTCAATCTGTTAGCATAATGATTGGCAGGGTGGTTACAGCGCCCTCTGTGGCAGGGTTGTAATAGGAGAGATAAAGGAAATGCAGATGAAACAAAGAAGCTAACTTTAACAAGTTATTTGAGTATTTTGTCAAAATCTGTATTGATATTATAAATTACTTCAAAGTAGATGCATGCTCCAGTCTGTTTTGTCTTGTTTGTGTTGTTAAACTTGAGATGTGCTCCTTCCCTTGAACATGTTTGTATATATAATAATAATATTTACGCAATAATAATATTTATTCAAAACTAAAATGAACTACAGTGGGTTGTTCCATGATCATATAACAATATAAATAAAAATAAATATATGTATATTATTATGACATTTGCTGTTGTTGAGAGTTGTCAACTATTGATAAATAAATGAAAAAGCACTGGAAGATATGTTCATCCGAAACATCGTCTACCTTTGGTCAGCTGCATCGTTCGCATTGTTCACTGTCTGCCATATTTATGCCCCCAGTAAATGATTGTGTGAACCCAAAGTTACAAGATCTTTATCTTTTTATTAAACATGGGGTAACTTTTCCCAGTGAGAACTATCAGTAGGTAATGTGTGTGATCTTTGTATGTTGATTCGTGAAGGTTACTTTGTAGGTGAACACAAGCTAACCTTTTATTACTATGGTAACAATCATGAGTATGATAAAGATGAAAGATACTGTGTTCCAATTACAACAAAAATAAAGTTCTCCCACATAGCAGGAGAGATAAACAGATATACCACAAACAATGGCTGTATATTTTGAAAATACCCCATTGTGTATGCCACATAAAATAATGAGCAGTTTTATGCTTGTCATTGATAATAATAGGACAAGGGACCAATAAACCATCATAATGGTATCATATATTTGTCAACACCATCATGACCAATAGCGAATTATATCCACTGGGTCCAAAATTTATAGAAATTATAGGAAAATACATACTAATGTCGAAAATTTTGGCAAAAATAATTGTATTCATAGTGTTAAATTGTAAAAATTGCAGTTTAGCATGTAAGTGTTATAATTATAAT